GTTTTTATTAGAGATAGATAGGTTCTTGATTACTAAGGGGATCAAAGGTTATCGGGTGAAGGCAGGAGAATGAGATTGAGAAATATATCAGCCATGATTGAATGGCAGAGCTGACTCGATTGGCCAAGTCGCCTAATTCTGCTCCTACACCTTATGGTCTTAATTCACACCATATGTTGACCAAATGTCCCAGTGTTAGTTTACTCATTTCCCACTGTACATACAACATGCATTGTATTTATTCAAGCCTTTCCTTAGATTTACTTAATGTGTAGTCTAGCTATCCCCAAATCTTATTCAACCTCTTCACTATTCCCTCAGTTAAGTTGTTAATGAATACTATGAGACCCATCACAGATCCACATGGGCACCATGAATCACTTTCTATCAACTGGAGAGAGATAGTAGGAACTGCAGATGCTGGAGAATCCGAGACAACAAGGTGCAGAGCTGAATGAGCACAGCCGGCCTTCATCTGATGAAGGGTCTAGGCCCCAAACGTCAGCCTTCCTGCTCCTATGATGCTGCTTGGCCTGCTGTGTTCATCCAGCTCTACACCTTGTTATCCCTACCAACTGGAGAACCTGCCCATTAGCCCTACTCACTACCTCTTACTGCTTAATAAGCCATCACCTTCTTGAGAGAAGACCAGGAGTTCCCTTACATCAGCTGAGGGAAGAACAAAGACTGAAACAGAGTGCAAATCACTAAGGATGAACACCCACTACTTCAAAACCCTATGGTCCACTCTGCTCCTCCATTTTACAGAACAGCTTCAGGATCAATAATCTGTGACAGGTCATGTAGTTTCTTTCATTGTCTAATGAGACAATGTATCATGTCTAAACTGTTGAACCACGTCAATTATTCACCTTCAATTCATTAATTTTAACTGTAACTCAGTGTCTCTTATGAAGATCCTTATCAAATGCCTCCCTGTGAAATCCATACAAATAATATCAATAAAGATTTTCTTGTTCACTACTTTAACCACCTTTTCAAAAAAAGTATCCAGATTCATCAGGCATGATGCACCCTTATTCTGTTCAGTTGAAAATGTTAAGGTGTTGATTCACGTTCTCTGTAGTTATAGACTGTCTTATTTCTTCAGCAATAGATGTAGGGCTAACTAGGTGGTCTAAAATTCCGTGTGACTACCTCCTCACTTTTTTTTAAAAGTAATGAAGTTACATATAGAGACTTCCAAACAAAGGAATGGTTCTATTTCAGGAAAACTGGAACCTTGTAGTTAAGGCATCTGCAATGTTCTCACCAACTTGATTTAAAAATTGAATGAAAAATGAATTGAATAAAAATGAATTAAAACCATCTGATTAGGTGAATTTATCACTGTTCAGTGTCATTATTTTATTGTTGTTACTTTTTCACGTTAATTTTATCGAGCACCCATCATTGAATCAGAATTAATTTCATTCAGATCTGGCATCCTGACCTCTTTGTTTCTGTGAATACTGATGTAAAGTTGTTATTAACATATCAGTTAACTTTGGGGGTTCATGATCACAGTTACTTAATATAGGCAGTCAACAATATATAAGCAATTATCAGTTAGTTTATTGGCTTTTTTTTAAGAAGCAACAGTTTAGATATGATACATTGTTTCATTAAACAAAGAAAGAAACTACATGATCTGTCACAGATAGAAGACTTTATTGATCCTGAAGCTGTTCTGTAAAATGGTGGAGCAGAGTGGTGGACCCCAGGGTTTTGAAGTAGTGGGTGTTCATCCTTAATGATTTGCACTCTGCTTCAGTCTTTGTTCTTCCCTCAGCTGATGTAAGGGATCTCCTGGTCTTCTCTCAAGAAGGTGATGACTTATTAACCACCATCCCCCTCTCCCCACCCACAACCCCCACCATCCCCCAACACCACCAAATCTCTTTCTCTCTCCGTCCCTCTCACTCATTGCACACCTGCACCAGCTATTTTGGGTCTGGAAATCGATAACTGTGTCAATCAGCTGTTTAACCCTCTTGGCCAGTAGTTACAAGCAGCTACTTACGATGCCAGGCTGACTGTTGTCCCCTTGCCCGCCTTCAATCTGAGCATTAGTTTACCTTTCATTCTAAGAATAAAAACATTTATTTTCCCAAACAATAAAATATATTTGATACCAGATAAATCAGGTACTTGTTCAATGGGGCATCATGACCTTAAGGATTGGTGTGACCTTTCCTCTTAGATTAATTTGCCAGAAATTTGGAGAGTTACTGCTGTAACAACAGTTAAGTGAAATTCCCTTTCTACACAGTAAGTACAAGGCATTTCAGTTTTAAGGAGCCCCGATTTCTGAAATATCTATCATTTCTAACTTTCATCAACAATATCATTATTATCACTTTTCCATGAGCGTGCATTGCTTCTGTCTACCCTTCATTCCAAATATAATTTTGAAAGTAGGCTGATTTTGATATCTCTTGTAAGTTTCTTTTCATACTCACTAGCATCCTTTTGTGAAGGAAAACCTGTCTCCTTTACTTGCTCTGGCCTACATGTGACATTAGGTCCACAGCAATGTAGCTGACTCTTAACTGCCCTCTGAGCAATCTATCAAGTTGCTCAGTTCATAGTCGTAGAGATGTACAGCACAGAAACAGACTCTTCAATCCAACTTGTCCACGCTGACCAGACGTTCCCATCTGATCTTGTCCCATTTGTCAGAATTTGGCCCATATCTCTCAAAGTCCTTCCCAATTCATATACCCATCCAGATGCCTTTTAAATGATGTAATTGTACCTGCATCCACCATGTCCTTTGGCAACTCATTCCATACATGCACCACCCTCTGCGTGAAAAAGTTGCCCCTTAGATCCTGTTGAATCTTTGCCCTCTCACATTAAACCTATGCCCTCTAGTTTTGGACTCCCCCACCCTGGGGAGAAGAGCTTGGCTATTCCCCCTATCTATTCACCCTATCCATGCCCCTCAAATCTCTATGTGGTCACCCCTCAGCCTCCGACGCTCCAGGGAAAATAGCCCCAGCCTATTCAGCCTCTCCCTGTAGCTCAAACCCTTCAACCCTGGTAACATCCTTGTAAATCTTTTCTGAATCCTTTTAAGTTTAACCACATCCTTCCTTTAGCAGGGCAACCAGAATTGTAAACAGTATTCCGAAAGTGGTCTCACCAATGTCCGGTACAGCCACAATATGACATTACATGAAACCACTACAAAATCTGATATAGGAATGGAACCAGCTGGACCACCTAGCATAAACTAAGCTACCAAAAACGACAATGTCACATGCAGCTGTGAACCCTGCAAACTCCTGCTTATTAACATTAGAGAACTTGTGCCACAACTGGGAAAGCGATCACACACACTACTCAAGCAATAGTGTGACAGTCATACAAACAGAATCATACCTTGCAGACAATGTCCCAGATACCACCATCACCATCCCTGGTTATAACCTGTCCTACCAGCAGGACAGACCCAGCAGGTGTGGCAGCACAGTGGTATACAGTCACGAGAGAGCTGACCTGGGAATCCTCAACATTGACTCCAGACCCCATGAAATTTCATGGCTTTGAATTATAGATGGGCAAGGAAACCTCCTGATAATTACAAAAAAATAGAAAGAACTGCGAATACTGGAAATCAGAAACAAAAACAAGAATAGTTGGAAAAATTGGAGTTAACCTTTCAGGTCTAGTGACCTTTCTTCAGAACTTCAGTTAACTCTGATTTCTCTTCACAGGTGCTGCCAGACCTGCTGCGTTTTAACAGCAATTTCTATTTTTACTACTGCTGATTACCACGTACTGTTCTCATTTGGCTGGTGAATCAGTACTCCTCCATGTTGAACAAACTTGGGGAAGCACTGAAGATGGGAAGGGCACAAAATGTGCTCTGGGTGGGGGATTTCAATGTCCACCACCAAGAGTGGCTTGGTAATACTATTGATCGAGCTGGTCAGGTCCTAAAGGATATAACTGCCAGACTGGGTCTGCAACCGGTGGCGAGGGAACCAACAGGAGGGAAAAACATACTTGACCTCATCCTTACCAATCTGGTCTGGCATATCCCCCACTTAACCATTAACATTGCTAGGGATGCACATGACTGAGCAGCACAAAATGGCTGAGGCTGCCCATGGCTAATGCATCTGAACATGGCTGACAGTAGATAGAGTGCTTGGGAAAATATTTGCTTCACGTAGTCTTCACAAGTCGAACAACAGTAGCTCTGTAAACTCAAGGTCAGCTGCAGCTGTTGATGCACAAGACACAGATAAAAACATTTCACACTAATCTCTCTTAAATTATTTAATCAATCTGTTACAATATTAAGAGTAGGTCTTAGTTAAAATTCTTCAGATAATCATAGATATAAATTCCAAAGTAGTTATAGATCCAAATATATACAAAAAAATCACTAAAAGCATTAGAGGAAAAGATTAAAACCAGTTTCAGACAGTAAAAATGCACCCACCTCTTATCACTATAGGGAGGATTTAATACAGGGATTAGCAGATATTGGAATGTGGATTGAATGAACACATTAAAACACAACTTGTTAGCTAAAGAATTCTAACTTTAGGTGTAATGACAGAACTTTGTTGGAACTGATCAAAAATCAATATTCTTTGGGGTCCAATTAATTGGCAGTTAACACAATGCAACTGGCAAATGTTACTTGAATACAGTATCCATTGTGAAAAGTCTCAAGGAGAAAGATAAGGGAAAACATCATGAAGGACCAGGGGTGAACCGCAAGCCTGTCCATCTCTTTGTCGTTCAATAATATGACTAGCTTAATTGGAAATACTTTGAGACAAGCTTGAACTGTGTAAGATTCTGTACCAGAGAGACAATTACAAAGGGATAACTCAGCCCGCTGACCAATGGAGGGTGTTTTTTGCAATCTTTTGTTGTATCCCCAACTCCTCTGATTCAGGGCACAACGTACCTGTGTCTCTGTTCTTTCACTAAATGTTGAAACAAGGTGGTGAAAGTACAACACAACAACAAAAAAATTAGGGATTTGTACAAGTTTTAATGGATTTCATGACACCATAAACATCTTAATGAACTGACGTTGTTCATGTGGTACAAGAAAAGGAAATGCTTTATTTCGAACAAATTAGTCTATCTTTGAAAATTATTTAAAGACTGATCATGAATTCAGAGAATAAATTTGCATTAAACCAAGAAGTCAATTCTCTTTATTTACAGGCTGCTGCTTCACACAAAGTGAGAGAGGAGACAGTGCAGTGGTGAGGAGACTTGAATGTTTTATAGTTGACTGAGAGGACACAGTCCAAAGATGGTGAATTTAGTAAATCATTTTCTGTCTTCTACCTAAATTGAAAAGAAAGCCATCAGATATAATCAGAAGCTGAATGCATTGGTTTCCTATCTCCTTTCTGCACAATCCTCCCATCAGTACGTTAGATGTGTTCTAGCATCTGTGAAGAATATGAAAGTAAATAAATGATAAGAAAATGTACAGAACAACTTCACACGTACATTGACAAAACCATCATGTGTTATAAGACTGCAGTGATTGGAACCAGGTTGACCACGTTGACCTCGAGAATTTTGATTAGGGTTATTAACCTTGGCCAATCAGGAAAGACCTGGCTGACCAATACAAACAGGAGATTAGAATCTCCTCAGTTCAGGCAACTGACTCTGAGCTGGTTGGCCACAGCCAGTGTACTGTGCACGAGTGAAAAAAGGATGACTTGGTGACAGCATACTGGTTCTGTGCAGTTATTTCAAAGATGCATTGGCTAGCCTTGGGATTGGAAATCCTACTGACCACTAAGGCTGACAAACCAAACTGTGGTGTACCAAGTGGGAGAAAAGTGCCGTACGTGAATACGGTCACCCATACCAATAAACAGATTACTCCAAGTTGTACAAGTTGTGCTTCAGCACTTCTATTACCTCTGGGTGTGTCTGTCAGGAAATGACACACTCCAAGCTCAAGATCCAGAATCAATTATACATTGCAGATGGAAAATCTGGCTCAGAATTTCATGATGTGTGCTCTTGCCATGTGAAAGATTTTACTTCAATTAGCGTTTAAAGATTAGAATACTGAGATGAAAAGCCAATGACAACAGTGCAGATAGAACCGAGGCAGTGAAGCATAAGAACAAGGTAAAACAAAACTGAATAAATGCACTGATTGTACATGTGGGAATTAAAACATGACAATTGGATTGCAAGAAAGAACTTGTATTTAAATAGCATCTTATACAACAAGAATGTGTAACAAAGATTGGAAGTTAAAGTTGAGAAAGCAATAATTGAATTAACGGCTTCACGTGAGAACAGTTTTTGTTTGTTGGAGTTATCTTAACAGATCAGAAATAAACTGACTTGAAGACCTGACAGTTAATGCACAATTGAAAATTCATTGGCTGCATATGAACTGTTAGTCATCTTATGGAAATCATGCTCACTGACAGATATTTGTTGTCTTATCTAATCGCGATGTTCCTGAAGTTGAATTTCGATGGTTAGAGACTGACTAAGATTATCAATGACAGATAGATCACTATTATAGCAGTTAAAAAATATAGGGCACAATGTTCATTTGTGTAGTGCCTCTATAGGCAGGCCTAGCTGCATATGTGACATTTACTGCTTCTCTTGTAGCCCACAAAGCATAAGTCAACTGGAGCAGTGGAGGTACAATTCCTTATTACAGGCTATTAGCTAAAGTTAAAACTCTTCAATTAAAGGTAAATCATTGACTTGGTGAGGAGATGCTGGGTGGCAGGAGACACAGAGGGGGTTATGAGAAAGTTCTCTAATTGGCAGAATATGATAGTATTTTGTGGTTTCAACCTTTCTCCACATTCAGTGAAGATTTAGATGGTGGGACAGAAAAAAACATGGATCGAAAATGTTTAAATAACTATAATAAGCAGTATAGCTTGAAGTATAAAATTACAGAGATCCTAAAAGGTTATGTGAATGGGTAAAATTGTGGCAAATAGAACTCAATGTAGGGAAATGTGGGGTCATCTACTTTGGACCTAAAAGGAATGGCTCATAAATGGTGAAAAATAGAAACAGTGGAGGTCCGGATGTAAAGATAATTTAAATGTCATGAATAGGGAAGGAAAATTATCAAAAGAGCTAATTGAATGCTGACATTTATGTCTCAAGGAAAAGAATACCATGGGATAGAAGTCATATTCCAATCATACAAAGCTCTGGTTTGACCACAGCTGAAATACTGGGAACAGTACTAGGCACCTCACCACAGGAAGGAGATATTGGCCTTGAGGGGAGTGCAGTGTAGATTTACTATAATGGTCCCTGGGCTGCAAGAATTAAGAGGAGTAATTAAATAAATTACGGTTACATTTTCTGGAATTAAGAAGGTCAAAATTTAGTGGCAATCAAAGTTTCCAAGCTGACATTGGAAACCGACAAGATAAGCAGAGGTAAGTTATTTCATTGGCTTGTTGAGTCTAGGATTAGGCAGTATAATTTAAAAACTAGAGATGGACCTTGTCAGAGAAAAAATGAGAAATCATTTCTACTCACAAAAGGTGGTACAAGTTTAAAACTCACTTCCACAAATGACAAGTTAGATCAATCATAAGTTTTAAATTTGAGACTGATAGATTTTTGTTATTCAAAGGTATCAAGGGAAATGGGACAAAGGTGGATAATTGGAGCAAGGTTACAGATTGCTCATGATCTCACCAGATGGTGGAGGGGACAGATCATTGAGTCCTGTCATAGGCAGGACTGGAGTGAAGTAATCAATGTTATCCACTGATCAAGGACACTGTAGATTTATTATGAATTCCTGTTCAGATTTTACACTGTTTCATACAGTGCATCAGTGGTTATACTTTAAAAGTACTTTATTGTTTTTATATGTATTTTAGGATATGCAAGGCACATGAATGTTGCTATATAAATGCAAGTTTATTTTTATTCCCTTTTACAGTACTTGTCATTATCCCATTGTACATTAGCATAATTGAACTGCCCCATCACCTTCTGCAATCCTGCACTTTCCGGTAATTCGGCCCCAAATTTTGGCCTCTATTTCCTCCCTATTATTTAGTAGCCTATAGCATACACTCATATTTAATGCTGTCCTTATTCTCAGAGTGCTTTAAGATTCAGAAAGTGTTACTGTATGTCTGCGGGTTAATAGATGGCCAGTGGCAGTGCCAATGGGATAAATGTGCTCACTAGAATGTCCTGAAATGACTGTTTGTAGTTAATGTTATGTGTAAGTGCAAAGTAATGTCTGATGGTGACAGCCTCTGACGGATCCCATCTGCATCTCACTCAAGTACTGACACTTCATGTAAGTGTTGACAAGGAGTATAACAGGCCAGCTCAATGCTGCCCATATCTGTTCATATAGTTGCAGGAATCCAGGAGTAAGGGATAGGGATCTTATGTATTATTAACATTTATAAACAAAGGCTCTGCGCCCTGTACTTACCCCTAGATGCCGTGTTGCTGAGCTTGCAGCCGCTGTCTCTCTTTGATCAGTAAGATGACCCCTACAACAGCACTGATAATACCCAGGATAATTCCCAGAACACAGATCACTGTCCAAGGACCAGTCTGTTCCTCAGGTACTTCAGGTTCTGTGTAGAGAGAGAGGCAGGAAAAGAATGAGTGTTTCAGAGTGAAACGCAAGATGGACACAACAGAGTGGAGAGATTGTTGGAGAGTGTCACTCTTGTTGCTATACATCAACAATCTAAATACCCACTGGCTATAATTGTCGATCATGCTATGGATTACAATTACACACACAAGGTTCCAAAGGTTAGGAGTTACTGATGGCAATACATTTGTTATGCAATATTGTACACTCACAGTTTACTATTTGTAAAAAAGGATGTTACTGTACGGAACGAGTAACATAGCCTCATCAGGCTACACCAGGATTGGGAACTAGTACCATATAAGCGATTATTATGCAAGATTAAAGCACATGGGATTGGGGGAAGTGTTTTGAGATGGATAGAAAACTGGTTGGCAAGAGGAAACAAAGAGCCGGAATTAATGGGTCCTTTTCAAATTGGCAGGCAGTAACTAGTTGGGCGTCACAGGGATCAGTGCTGGGACCCCAGCTATTTACATTATATATTAATGATTTGCATGAGGGAACAAATGTAACATCTTAAAGTTTGCAGATGATACCAAGTTGGTGGGGGAGGGTGAACTGTGATGAGGAAGCAGAGATCCTTCAGCATGATCTGGACAGATTGGGTGAGTGGGCAAATCAATGGCAGATGCAGTATAATTTGGATAAACATGAGGTTATTCACTTTGGCAGCAAAATCAAGAAGGCAGGTTACTACCTGAATGGCTGTAAATTGGGAGAGGGGAATGTGCAGTGGGACCTGGGTGTCCTTGTACACCAGTTGCTGAAGGTATGCATGCAGGTGCAGCAGGCGGTAAAAAACGCAAATGGTATGTTGGCCTTCATTGCGAGAAGTTTTTGAGTACAGGAGCAGGGATATGTTGTTGCAGTTGTACAGGAATATACACCTGGAATATACACACCTGGAATATTGTATGCAGTTTTGGTCTCCTTTTCTGAGGAAGGATGCTCTTGCTCTCGAGGGAATGCAACGAGTCAGGCTGATTCCGGGGATGGCGGGACTGATATATGAGGAGAGACTGACTAGATAAGGATTGTTTTAGCTGGAGTTCAGACAAATGAGGGGGGATCTCATTGAGACTTATAAAATTCTAAAAGGACTTGACAGGGTAGATGCAGAGAGGATGTCCCCAATGGTGGGTGTATCCAGAAGCAGGGGTCACAGTATGAGGATTCTGGGTAGATGATTTAGGACGGAAATGAGGAGACATTTCTTCACCCAAAGAGTGATGAGCCTGTGGAATTCATTACCACAGGAAGTAGTTTATGTCAAAGCATTGAATGTATTCAAGAGGTGACTAGATACAGCACTTGGGGCAAATGAGATCAAGGGTTATGGGGAGAAAGCAGGATTAGGCTATTGAGTTGGACAATCAGCCATAATCGTGAAGAATAGCACAGCAGGCTCGAGAGGCTGAATGGCCTCCTCCTGCCCCTATCTTCTGCGTTTCTATATTTCCATGTTATGAACAGGGATGTAAAATATTCATAAAAACACAGAGCAGAATGACAACTATTTGGCTCAATATCCCATTGCTGGTTCTTTAAAAGAGTTGTTCAATTAGTCTCAATCACCTATTCATTATTCATAGCCCAACACTGGCCTGCATTTCCCACTGACCAGACAGTTATTCCATTGAAGATGGGGAACTGTGTAGGGGTGTCTGCAGAATTCCCATTGCAGCAGACTCCGAAGGAACTGCTGGAAAATTAAATTTTTCATTGGGCAATTCCTCAGAACCCTCTGAAAAATCTCTCTTTAAATTGGAGACTTTGGAGGGTTCTGCTAAAATGAAGTAGAATAGGCCAAAGGGAAGGCAGCTCTACATTTCTCCATTTTCACCATTTTGTGGGAGAAATCTGGACTAGTGGGGACATGCACACACACAGGCATGCACGCACAGACACGCACATTACAACCTCCAGACCCTGTCCCAGCACCCATACCCCCACCCTGGAACCCAAAATGCCATCCACATGACGTGAAGTTGCCCCCCCAATCCATTCCCACTTAACCTGACTGCTAAACACCCTTCTACCAGACCTGAATCATGAACCACTCCTCCCACTCCTGCTGCTGCCAGTGATCCCGACACCCCCTTATGCTATCGGATTTGACCCTACTTTGCCTCATTGTTGGACCTGACCTCATTCTCCCACTGCCAGATCGGACCAGACATGACCGAGCCCTTGGCTGCTGGACCCAAACCTCCCTGACCTGACACCCATACTCCCCACCCTCTGCCAGACCCAATTTCTCCAATTCACTGTGAAAAAGGGGATGCAGTATACTTTCTCCGATAGCTTTACACTACTACAGAACTGTCAGAATGAAGTATAGTTTGGCATTTCTGAAGGAGCTCTTATTGAAATATCGTCTCAGAAATGTGGAGCTCCCTTCTTTTGTAAAAAGTGTGGGGTGGTAATCCGCATGGGATTGGCTCTTCTCGGAAAATCTAGCTCATTATTTCCCTTCAACTAATATCCAATTTTCTTTGAAGGGAATTCTTCAATCTGCTCCCAGTGATTGTTCACAACTAGTGTTAAATAAACTTTCAGATCCTCCCTGGTTATTTTGCTCATTTTCTTTTATCTGTACCCTCTGCTTAGCTTACCCTATTACCAGTGGAAACAGTCTATCAAAACCCTTCACAATTGTCTGTCTCTTTACCTTCTCTGCTCTGAGGAACACAATCCCAACTTCTCCACAAAAGAAGCCGCCCACCCCTTGATTTCAGTAAATCTCCTCTCCATGCCCACTGAATTTTTTTCAGTTGGAGCAGGGTAGGATAAATGATGTTTGATTTTAATATTTTGAAATTATGAAGGATATTCATTGCAGATTTTTCCTTTGCTTAGTGAGGCAGACATGACCCACTGAGGCATCATCAATTTTAAATAATCAGTAAGAGAGGGAAAATAATGCTACTTTGTTTAGCCTGTTCTCATAGTGTTACCTTAAAGTACAGGAATCATTCTGGTAAATTTACACTGCACTCCCTCCATGGCCAGTATCTCCTTCTATTGTGGGGTTCCCAGAACTGGTCTCAATATTCCAGGTGTAATCAAACCAGGGCTTTGTATTCCTGAAACATGATTTCTACCCCCTTGTATTTTTCCCCTCAAAACCCATGAGAATATTTGATTATTTTCTGAACCTGTTCATGATATTTTCATGATCTGTGTACTTGGGTCCCTAAGTAGCATTTTGTGCTGATGTCCGGTCTAGGTGTGTCGGGGTCAGATGTGTAGATGGGAATCAGTAGTGAGTCAGGGGTTCATGTTACCATTTATCTCGGAGTTTGAGTAGGTTTTTAATCCTCTAACCTTTCCTGGGTAACTATTAGCTCAAATGAGTCAGGACCCTCCAAACTCTGATTTTATGGAATTTTTTGGAGGGTTCCAAATGCAGGGGAATTGCCAATCAGAAATTTCCGAGCCAATTCCCTTGGAATGAGCTGTGTTGGGATTATGGAGACTGCATAACTCCAACCTACATTGCAGATACAATTCTCTGGTCATTAGAATATTTGAGCCATTAAATATTTCCTTAAAAATGTCTGTCTCTTCATCTATAAGATAACACAGTGTGGAGCTGGAGAAACACAGCGGGCCAGGCAGCATCAGAGGAGCAGGAAAGCTGACGTTTCGGGTCGGGACCCTTCTTCATTTT